TTGACATTCATCAATATCTGCAAGAACGAAAAATGATATTGAAGTTTATATCGATATCGGAAGATACGCATTCGACGAAAAATGACACAGGAGAAAAGGTCCAGGGATTCCAAAATGTCGCACTTCGTTTTCAATAAATTGCCCGATTTATTAGCGAAAAAAAAAGTTCGTGACCAACAAATTGTATCTCAATTTTTTTCAATAAAGCCAGGATAAAATGGAGCAAAATTGTCAGACTTCTCTCGTATTGTATTTCAATATACGGTCTGGTAGTCAAATCAATGAAACTTCTGTAAAAACATAAAATTTGAATGACTAAAGAGAGAAGAAAATCAAAATTACCTTAGTCTTCTTCAACACGATAGCTCAACTCATTTAAAATACATCTCAGCTCAAACATGAGTATTTTTCGGGGTAATTCCTCCAAAGGCATTACTATATTTACTATAAAAATCTAGTACCAAATTCCCTCAAGCAAGTTTTTCAGTGTAAAATTTTCTATCACATTGCGTACCCAGATGAGAAGCGCACCACATTTGAGTGACTAAAACTGCAATATTTTAAAAAGAATAAAATTCAAATTTGCGGATAGACATGAATTAAACCTGAATAAGCTGAATTCGACTAATTTTCAAATGTTTCCGTGAAAATAAGTTTTTCTGATGAAATTGGGAAAAATAATCACCATCAGAATCAAGTATACAGAATAGATCACACCTAAACCTCTACAATGTTGGGTAAATTTATAATCGTCTATGACGCGCAATCCCTTATTTCCTGTCAATTTTGAGGAAAAACGGTGCGCTCGGTATACTCGAAGTAAATTTGGTACTTCTGGAATTAAGTCACGTTTTCCAAGCAAGATCCCATTCCCTCACGTAAAAGTTATCTCTCCCGCAAAAATTAGGTTCTGCTTCTATTGTGTTGTCTACCCAGTGTCGTCTTTATAGTAGTGCCCCCATCCTCGGAGGCGGTAGAGTAAAGCCATGTAATGGAAGCGTCACGCACCTTAACCTCTCGAACATTGGGCCAGGACACTCGCACCGAAACCCGGTTTTCGTGTTGACACACGTGTGTTGGCAGCCGCCGTTGTGGATGGCACATTCGTCCACGTTGCACTTCTCCGCGGGTTCGTCGCTGCCATCTGGACAGTCCTTGGTACCGTCGCACACCCGCGTCAGCGGAACGCAATGCGGACCCGTTCCGCACGCGAACTCCTTTCCGGGATCGCACATCGAGGTCGCCACTTCTAAAATATCGCCAAAAGGAAAATATTTCAACATGGTGATAAAAGAAAACATCAACACGCAAAGCGAAAAAAATATATATACTCTGCCGCGTTCACGCGAATATATACAAGGCACACATGGTTTCCCTTATACAGCACAGTACTGTATAAAAAAAATTAATAACAGGGAGCGAAAACTCAACATCTGAATACTTGATGAGGTCTAGAATTCCATTGAAATTACCGGTACTGCTACTTCATACACTGCACCAACACCTGTCTACACCTAAACATCCCCTAAACTGCTCCGAAATAAAGTAAATAAAGTTAGTAATGAAAATAAACTTGAGAAAGCAACTCGAAATTTTTTTCAGACTTTCCGAATTCCCACGATACTGCTTCGATGGTTGAATCTTTAATTTCGCTCGAAAAGGCCATAAACGTCAAGCAGTGTCGTTATTTAGCACAAAGACGTCTGCTTCATGTCATGAATATTTAGGAATTTATTAACCACATGAAGGAGAGGCTAGGTTAGCCCTCAAAAAAGGGTTCCGATACATTCCAACAAGTACCAGCGCGTCTCAAATTTGACAGAAAACTCGTTTTCAATTTTACGAGTTCAACAAGAACGCCACTTATATTCGCGACAATGTGATGGGTACTCTTATTCTCCATTGAACAGAGTTGCCGTTTCGGTAAAATTACACTGGGACCGCGACATGCGGACGATTCGACTTTGGGACACTTGCGAAAACAAAACCTGCCACAACATCCGAAAGCTTTTCCAACATTCCTTGAGAAATCGAAAAGTTTTGTTTATCGAAATTTCGACACTGCATCTCCTCAAAAACTTGAGCATTCAAACCTCACAAAAATTGAACATAAATTTCATTTTAAAATTACTTCAATATATACTGTCAAGAACAAGCGAATTTTGTGATTCTTTTTTCAGTGTTTTTTCCATGACGTGCTCACATGCTTATTTTGTTCTAAGCTCAAAAAGATGGTGTTCTTTGCTCCTTGAGCTACTTCAGAAGTCAAAATATCTGATTGCGGTTTTCTTCTGTACAGTTATTTTTTGCATTGTGAAGTTGAGAAACATTTCTATTAAATTATTTGGGACTTTATCCCAATATTTTCATGAACAGGAGAACCAAGTAAATGTGTTCTATGGGAAAACGTCATCAGACATAGGGACAAGGTCCAAGTCTGGATCTCGGGGTCCCCACAATAATTAAAAAAATAATACAGGAATTGGCAAGACAACTTACTACAGTTTTTTTCGTCTGCCCCGTCATTGCACTCGGTTTTCCCGTTACACTGGAGGTGACTCGGGATGCACGATCCATCGCCGCACTGTCAGAACAACACGAGGAGATAATTTAAGTCACAGAAACCGGTTGAATTAACAGTTCGGAAGCAATTACTTTGAATTGATCCGCTCGACAGGATGAGTTGTAACGTTTGCAAAGTCGTTCGTCTTCGTCCGACTTGTCCTCACAATCGGCGCTTGGCAGCGTGTGGGTTCTTGACACTTACGTGTAAACGTACCAAAACGTAAAGGTGAGAACGAAGAACGTTTGAACCCGCCTCGACGACAACTGGTTACCTGTTAAGACGCTTGCTCTTTTTTTTAGTATGATTATTCTTTTTCTAAATAAGCTTCTGCAAATCTACACAGTAAACACCGGTTTTCAAAGCTAACTTAGAATCCTCAGGCATCTCATGAAATTTGATTTGAAAATGGAAGAAAATACACACGGGTTTTTCTTCCTTCGTTCTATAGAACGCAGGATTTTTTTTTCCGGTCAAGCTTTGCAGATATACAGTATTAATTCAACGTTATGTTATTTGAATGCAAAAAAATTATGGAATTCAACATGAAACAGATATTCAAACACTAAAATTTCATGTAAACGAGGTAATCAGGCTACGATAGCTGATTATAAACATCGAAGTTTATAGTAACTTGAAAACTTCTTCGTGTAAGAATGATTTAGAATAATTTTTTCGAAGAATGTTGGACCAAAAACAAAACAAAACTTGACGCAAGCTCCGGCTGTTTTGTCAAGAATCTCTCCAATACTCTAAATTGCCGCCAAGACTTGAGCTCTTAATTGCCCACCGGCAGATCGAAAACTCCACAGCGCTTGATATTCATTTATTTTATAACTCAAAAAATTATTCGCTCCATCTTTGAGATCGAATGTCAACGCCAACCTAAGACATAATTTCTAATTTCCGCAAAATTCCTCAAATCAGTGTGCTTTATACAGTGCATGATCACTTTAAAGGCTTTAGTTACTGTTTAAGTCGCACCAGCGTTTTGGAGCAGAGTATCGCTGGAGTAAAATAGAGACTTATATAATCATGGTCAAATTAATGAAAGGTACTACACAGTAGCAATAAAGTTTTACGCAACTTCTGTCCAATATTGCAAGAAATCCACACGACAATTTACTGGCAACTCTTGCCAAAATACATCGACAGCAAAAGTTACTCAACCATGACGTCAGAAAGCGTGTTTCCTTAGGAGTGACATCTGTCGATTCACTCAACTCTCCCACTCATATCATGTTAGGGAGTACAGTACAGTACAATACAGCCTTTCTTCACTTACCCAAAAAATCCGCACGACAACCAAAAAAAGTAAGTACGGCATGTTAACACAGAATAGGACAAGCGTTGGACATAAGAAAATGCCACACCCGCCAAAAATGCGTACACGTGGACAAGTATACTCATGTCACGTAATGTTTTGTCCCGTATATATCTTTCAATTGTTGAGTGAAAAAGTAGTGACCGTAGGTTCGTTAGGCGAAGCGGCAGTGTTACGGTCGGCTAGCCTTGCGTTGCAGGTAAGCTCGTCATGAATTCCTCGTTGGAGTCACAAGTGGGTTCCGGGCAACCCTTTTCGTCGGACCCGTCGTCGCAGTCCGGCGACTGGTCGCATACCCAGCCAGCATTGATGCACTTGCCATCTCCGCACCTGAACTCCGCTGCAGAGCAATTCCTGCCTATGCATCCGATTTATGATGGAAACTCGGGATTAGAAACTTGGTCCAGGACACACAAACGAAAATATTGTCAAAAGAAAATTTTTGAGAAACGGGTCTTCCGGACAGGAGTAAAGAAGCGTGAATTGCACATTTGGGAGGATGGTTCAAAACGTTTTCCAGCATGTTTTTTTTACGGTGCCAAGCTTCGAAGAACTGTACTGTAATAATCATCTGTAATTTGCGGTATCAATAATTCTAGAGACTCGTGAGCGAACAAATTTTCATTCGTTTAGGATTAGGTTTTTAAATGTTTCCTCACCAATTGACAAGAATTGCCGGGCTCAGAAAAATCGTTATCCTTGGAAAAAAAATATACATCAGATCTCGGACACATTAAAAACGAAGTTTATCAATTCGAGATACAGAAGAATCTCGGTATAACGAATTATTCCGTACAACGAATTCGTCTTCCATGTCTTTTCCCGATAGGCATAATGTTATTTAAATTGCGATACTAAGATTTTATCTTTACAAAGAAGCTTTTTCCCAGGTTCCCAACAGCTTCGTTGTACCGAGTTTTTCCTGTACTCAACACATTAAGTGACTGGACAAGTGTGAGATTAACCTCAGTTATTCCAACTCATGGGGTGTACTGTACATCCATTTCTGATTCCCTGAATGTCACATTGGGAGAACCATTGGGATAGTGTTCAGGAAATTATCTCATCTTACTCTTATTCTAAATTTTTTTTAAATTTTCATCAATTTAACAAGAATAAAATGCAGGTAGACTCCGTCCACAATGATTTTGTCTGTATAACGAATTCTTTGGACCCATTGGGATTCTGCACCCTTCAATTACAGGATTGCCGCTAAAACGTTTTTTTTTTTTTTTGGTCTCCTGAATTACGTTGTAGAGAGTCAACCTGTAACCGCAAAAACTACGATTAAACTTATTAAAATACAGAGCTTTCGAACTCTTGATGCACGTTGTGTACGGAAATTTTGCTGCGGGCTATTTTACGAATATCCGATACGAGGGAAACGAAGTCAGCATCAATCATGAACAAGTGCTCCTTTGACGCAATCTTTCAAAACTTGTGCCTTCAAAAATTATAGCCTTGCTCCACTCTGATCCGGAAGACGGATTGTACAGCACAAATTTGTGGGAATGGGATAGAATTGACACGCCACCATATGATAACCATCACCAACGGAAAAAGAAGTTATTTTGTAAAATGAAGAGTAACCAAAACGTGAAATCAACAACATGCAAAACCCATATACCATTGAATAAACCATGAACCAAATATAACCTCACCATCCAAAACCACATCGAATTAATGAAATATTCACAGGAAAGAATTTTCGAAACTAGGACTCTCGACACAACGAACTGACGTGCTTCAAAAAAACCTTCGGCTTCATCATAAAAACGCGCAAAAAAGGTGAAATATTTCAGAAGTACCGAACTACTGAGTGTTTCTTGCGTTCGAATTTGAACTTACACAATTTCACTGAAACAGAAGAGGTCACGTGGTTCAGCTTGGTGGAAGTTTTGCCAGCAACGCATAAAGTAAAATTTTTTTTACGCATGAAACAAAAACGTTGGAATACGCTGACGTTTTCATGTTCGAAACAATTTTGATTTCGTTAGGAGTAATGAGTTACGATTCATATTTTGCGATCAATTTTCACATCCAAGAACGATCAAAATGAGAACGGAAATCGATGAAATTTGAATAAACAATCCAGGAGATAAAATAGATTGAACGTCTCGTGAATTCAAGGAAACAAGAACGTACGAGGGGTTTCACGAAACTCTCGCGAATCATCAACGAATTTTCTTTGTCAGAAGATTTAACCTGGACTTCACTGCATGATTATATTTATTCGTACAAAAAATCCCATTTGACAATTACTTTACAGTACTGTATCTCATTCGGGGAAAATGAACGGGTATTAAATTTTAGCGCCAAAAGATAATTAGGATAAAGTTCATTTTTAATTATTTTATTTTGAGAATGAGTCTCCGATTTCGGCTGAAATTACTTGCCAACATTTGCCAAAGCAATTCCAGGGAGATTTAGCTAATGTCTTGAACCACTGTATTCACAAGTGCCACCTTCACATTAAAAGTTTCCTTTTTTGTCAGAATTCATTTTAAAAAGTATTTACAAATCGCATCCAACAATTTTCAAATTCACTCAGAAAGTGTCGTACTACGTAAAAATTTGTTCTCGAGGATTTCTTCAAAATTTTCAAGAGGGAAAAATCACTCGGTTCTAAAAGAAAATTTGGGACCAATTTTGACAGAAATTTTTCCAATGGTAAAAATTTCAAAATGGTTGAATTTGGGCTCAATCTATGTCTAAATTCACATTTGGGTGGTGTTTTTTTTTTTAATATTGCATTTATAGAGTCATTTCAATTAGGATATGCAAATTACTATGGGATATGATTTTATCAAAAAAATTTGACCGAAAAATCCCGTAGAGCATCTCAATGGAGGGAAAGTGGTGCTAGAGAATAAATACGATAATTCGCAAGGCTTTCATATGAAATCCGTTCGTTGAATTTTTCGGTTTAGGCAAAATTTCCACCAGACTGCAGAAACCAAACTAGAAAGAAACGCAAGAAAACTGGGCTTCACTTCTTCCGCGAATCATTCAAGAAGAAAATAAAATAAAATAAACATTGAGAAAAGTCGGACTACAGTACTGTACTTCAAGAGTTTGTTCAAATTTAAAAAAACAATGAAGTACATAGATAAAACAGATCTTTCTCCAGTGCTGTACACGTAAAAAAAAAACACGAAGAAATCTTTGCTTCCGAAGAAATCATCATCATCATCATCGCAATAATATTTGGCTTACTGAGGCAATCCATTTCGTCAGACCCGTCACGACAGTCACGCTTCCCGTCACACAGCCACAATTTCGGCACGCAAAGGCCTTCGCCATCCGCGCACGCGAAGTCTTCGTCCGCACAACGCTTCGAACCTGCTACGACACACCGCCGAAAAATTGTTCCGCCGACACGACAGTAACACACACACACGCCATGCATTATTTTTTTTTTTTGCCAGCACGGCAAGGATCCCCAGACAACGAGAAGAGAAAGAGAGGAGAAAAACGAGAAGCAGAACAAAAAAAAAGAAGAGCAATTATGATTAGTAAATTATTCAACTTTAGAATTTTCTACCGGAGACACCAGACATTCAAGACGTACCTATAGAGAGGCTACCTGCCAAAAAAAAAAGCCCCCGCATAGGAATAGGATTACATCGAGAGAACGCTGTTGAAAGATTCAAGTCTTTCCTGAATTTGAGGAATAATTCAAATCGAACATTTTCAGCACTTCTTCCAATACTTCCCACTTCGATTGACAGAAATAAATTTGAATAGGATTACATCGAGAGAACGCTGTTGAAAGATTCAAGTCTTTCCTGAATTTGAGGAATAATTCAAATCGAACATTTTCAGCACTTCTTCCAATACTTCCCACTTCGATTGACAGAAATAAATTCCTAAAATTTCAGATTTTTATGGATTGCAGCAAAAAAAATTTAAACTTCTATAGATCTTTTGAAATTTAAACTTTGCTTGCTTGAATAACGAGCCCAAATCAAACCAAGTTTTTAGCCATACAAGCCTCCCCCAGCCAAAACCAAGTAAAGTAACATAATTTAATGAAATTGACGCTGACATGCATTTTAAAATAATTCAAACGACACGTATGAAACGTTTGAAAAAGGATACTAGGTTGTACGAAATTGTATGTTCAAGAGAGAAGAACCATTTTGTACTGCTATGAACGAGTTTTTTTTTTACCACAAAGACCTGATGAATTAAACGAGACTCGATTTTCGTTTGCTCCACTCGGAAACAGGTTTGGTCAGGTCAGTTTCAGTTTAGTAACTTGGTCAATGATTTCGAAAAGAAGTCAAGATTGATTGCGCCTGCGAGTACATTTACTCAATTCATTTCCGGGAAAACCCCAATTAATGCAGCTTATTATTTCATTACATAATCATTTCATTAAAAAAGTACTAAACGCTCAAGAATTTCCACCGCATTCAAGCAAGAAAGGAATTATCCCATCTCACGGCTTCCAATGAATAAAACGCTCTCTCAAAGCAATCCCACTCCCAAATGTCCCAGGCAACAATGAAAAATAATAATTTCAGCTCCGTAAAAATATAGATATAAAAAAAACCTATCAGGCGTTTGCCGAGAGATAAAAACCACAACCTGAAGATTAGTTCACGAGAGGAACGAAATTATTTGCAAAGGCCAGCAACGGTATGCGCATTCCTGCATCCCGTTTCAGCAGTGAGGAGGGGGGTTTCGGACTGTTTCGCTGTTTTCTTTTTCTCATCACTTACTCGCACATCCCAGCTCGTCCTCCCCATTGGCACAGTCTCGCATATCGTCACAAACGAATTTTTGCGGCACGCAACCGGACCCATCAGAGCACCGGTAGAAATCTGGACCGCACTCTCGTTCCGCTAACAAGTTTACAATTGTTTCCGATTAAAACACGGGTTCCAAAAAAAAAAAAAAGGATCTCCAGGAAGTGGGGTAAAAAAAACAACAACCTCAACAACACTGGCTTCGTCGATGATTTTGCACAATTTTTCAACGCTATTTCAAATGGGATAATAAAATTAAAAGACGCTGCTTTTTTTGTACAAGTTCGTGATTTGAATGAGGAAAAAATAAACTCACGGCATAAGGAGCGTTTTTCATCTTCGCCATTTGCACAATCCTTGCGCCCGTCGCAAACCCAACGTGAAGAAATACAGTTGCCGTCAGGACATTTGAAAACTAGTGTCGAGTTACAGGCTTCCTTATCTGCAAAATATTGAAGAAAAAAAAACATCGAAAAGTTATTAAATAAGAAAGAATCCTCCCCTAGTGCTCCGCGGACCTCTTTTTTTTTTTTTTCTCCATGTGGAGTTCTCATGGGTTCCGCGGCTACTGCGGGTAATGAATACAGTACTACGAATTGATGGGATAAAAATCAGAAACAAGAATAAATAAAAACAAGTGGACACTCCACAAATATTTTCTCTAGAACAAAATTCTCTCTATAACTATTCTTTATTCTGATCCCTGGAATTTCGAAGTTACAAAGAAGTTCACTTGTACTTCATTACGCAGACGAAGGGGAAAAAAATAAAACACAAAATAAATCCTTTAAAAAATTAGCCAGTTTCGCTTCGTCAAATGAATGACAAACGCAACACGGCATCAGCTTGATTGAGCTGATTATCCTCGTTGATTGATGAACATATTACGTCAGTCCTTCATCAAAACATTGAAAATTAAACCATTTTAAAATTCTCAATAATGCTTACAATTCGTGCAATGCTTGAAATAAACAATCACTCGTGAGAACCGTTCAAAAATATCCGACGTGGCAATAAAATTGATGTCGATGTCGCATAAAAATCATGAAACTAATGCAAGCTTCGCAATCTAAATGTCATAGGAAACCTCGTCTCAAATCCGTGAAAACCCTCATCAAAAAATCTAAAAAAAAAGCTCAGTTTCTCACGGCTCCCAATTTTGTAGTTGGAATTGATTCCGAAGACTTGGAAAGGCCAAGGAACTCTACACTGAAGGAAGAATGTAAAAATGCAACATCTCCGAGGAATTTCCCTGGAGAATTTCCACGAGAGCAATTTCCGTTACATTCCGCGAAGATGGCAGTACTTTTCCAAAGAAAATGCAAATAACCGTTCGATAGTAACGAGTCAATTTTTTCTATACTTTGGTCTGGTAGATGAAGAAAACAGAAGGCGCGGAATTCATGTTTTATGATAATGATGATGCGCAGTTTTTTTTATCTCCCGTCTGGAGCCGATTCTCCCGCCCTCAGAATTTTCGTAAAGGGGAATTTTACATCAGCAGGGCTGCATCGAAAGAAAAGGGTAATTCGCCAAAAATAGTAATGCTCTACTTATAACATTATACAGTACGTTGATAAAGTAACGGGATCGGGAGTATAATTTTCAAGAGAAAGCGTACGAGGTTAATTCTTTTGAAAAAGCTGACAAAAGATTCCCCTCCAGGTTTTCCCACAATAATCACGAATACAGTACGGTATTCGGATTTCTAAAAAAAAAAAAAAACCGAGAACAACGCGCGGAACGAAAATTTGGCAAAATAGTTCCGTTTAAAACAACATCAATACTGAAACACTAAACACTATTAAAAATATCTAAGATATTTTCACTAAAGCACAAAAGTAGGAAATCCATGCAGGTAATAAAAAAATTGGACGATGGACTTAATTGAGGTGAATACATTGATATGCATGAAACTCACGCGCGAAATTTATATAATCCTAGCAATAATAAAAGCGAAGATCAGATTTTCCAGTTATCCACGAAAGAAAAATGTGCGCTTAAATTGCTTGGAAGTGAGTCAAAGAGCATTTCTTCAAGAAATCGTACGAATAAAATGACTGCGTAGTGAATCAAGCTTTCAAGGACTGATTAAGTCGAGAAATGCGCTCAGTAACTTGAAAATACGACATTCATCTGCTTCGTGATGTGTCACGATCTTCAAGAACCCCATCGTATGAATTTTTCAAAAAGTCAGAAAAACATGCGGGTTGTTTTTCCAACACACCAGCGAATACGAGAATAGAATAAAATAGACCATGATCCGAGTACTGCGTAGCATTTCCGTCATAATCGGCCTCACCCAGACTTCGGGCAACCACTTCAATAAGACATCCAAAAGCTGCAAAATAAATCTTAAAATTAGGAGCATAAAGGCGTATCCAGTTAATAACGATTGCAACAGAAGGCGCATTTAGGACAGTTGGTCGACAAAACACCTTTCCTGTAATAAAGGATTTATGCCTGCCATATTTCCCTCAAAGTAGCAATTTCGAATGAATTTAGTGCAACTCGTCATCAACTACAGGCTTTCGATGCCTCTCAACTCCTACTTCGCCACGTCGTTCCTCAACCTCGTATTTTGTATTTCAAGGTCGACTCTTGCTCTGAGATCACTCGTCGATCAATAGAGAACCCGTTGTGTCGGCTGACGACATCTTGGAAAAGAAAAACGTGCGACACTGACACAGGCAGGCATCTACAGAATTTTCGCTTTCTCTCCCCCTTTTTTATTTTTCATTTTTCTAACCCACCCCTCACGTTAAGCTTCTTGGCGACGTCGTCCTCGGAATGCGTACTCGTGGATGTACAGTAGCTTAGAATAAATCCGCCCGCAGAGCGTCACGCGACGTCACGATTACATCGAGAGCTTGCACTATAGGTGCACTAGGATGGATGATCCAACCCATTCCTTGGTTAACCCGACCGGTTTTTTTGTGTCAGGCACGTGATTCGAAGGGTTCCACCATCTTGGGGATGTCCAAAAATACGCCGACAATTAATTCGAGTACGCGACTCAATCGTTTCCGCATCAGGTTTGTCACTCGAAGGTGAGCTCCCTGCGAATTCGGAAAATATCTTCTAGCGTAGAATGAATTTATTTTGCAAGGCATGCATTTTCTCAAAAGAAAGCAGTGTAATCAGATATCATTCGAAATATTGCTTTTATTATTGCATTTAATCGAGTACTCCCTCAATAAGACAGACACTTACCCCACGTTGTTGTTGGGAAATACAGTGAGACCCCGGATGCAGACATTATTGGTGCATCAAGAGTGTCCCTACTTTGAATTGTCCCTAAGTTGAGTCTTGTTTTCCCATAGGCTTACATTATATAGTTTTTAATTGGTGTTCTATTGAAGGAATATTTTTCAGAATTCCATGAAAAAAAAATTGCCCTTGAATTTGATTACGTGAATATTTTTTCAACCTAATAAAAACATTTGGAGCATCGAACAGTATGCCACTGTACAGTTCATTGAATTGTTGTCATCTGTAAAAATGACATCCAAGTCACAAAAAGAGAAGGAAGTCCCTCTGTGCTACAGGTAATTTTTTTTAATTAGCTGAATTGATGTTTTCAATAAAGTGATAGGAAAAGTAACAAAGAATTTTTCTTACAAAGATCTTAGGGTTGGAACTATTTGTTTCTTGCAATTCAGCTTAATAAGTCAGTTTTCCTAAAATTGTGATTGGAAATTTTATCATGCAATGTCCTCATGTCAAGTCAGGGTCCCTATGTTGGGCCTTTTTAATGATTTTTTATTGAAAAATAAATGCCCCTATGTCAAATTGTCCCCATGTTGAGGTGTTCGCATGTTGGGGTCTCACTGTCCAAAATACTATCCCTGCATGAAACCCACACACCAGCTTTTTTTTTTTTTTTTTTTTTTTTTTTTTTTCAAAAATTTAATGGGGAGGACGAGCTGGGATGTGCGAGTAAGTGATGAGAAAAAGAAAACAGCGAAACAGTCCGAAACCCCCCTCCTCACTGCTGAAACGGGATGCAGGAATGCGCATACCGTTGCTGGCCTTTGCTGAAAATCAAAAATTGTGAAATCTCTTTTGAGTCCAGATTCATTCTTTCCCCACAGATATTTCGCCTTTCCTGTTCTTTATTGTCTGCAGAAGCAGTTAAAATTTGTTTTCAATTGAGGAAGGGGAGCTTCCTCAATTGGAATAATATTATACCCTTTCTTTACTTTTGGTAGCAGCTCCAACTGATTTAGAGGTATTCCTAAAATTGTTGATGCTTTAATCATATTTCCCATCAACAAGGAGACTTAGTGCCCCTCTTCAATTATTTTGTTTAAGATGCACTCACATGTGGCAGGCACTAATTTTGGACTTGTTTTATAATTCATCCTCAGGTACTGTACCACGCATAGCCTATTTTTTCTGCATCAATTTCTGGCGGAAAAAAAGTTACGAATGGTACTCAAATGAATACAGTGAATGCAATCTTATGACTGGACTCTATTCACAGCGTAGATTCATTTGTAAGGTACACATTCTTCTCCAGCATTAAATCATGGGAACAAAATCTGTGGAAAGCGGGGTTCTTTTGTGGCCGCGTATCAGATGGAACTTTCTCGAGGTCGGTTTCAAGTAGACTGCGACGATGATCCCCATGAACTGAATGAATCAGGGCCAAGAAAAGTACTGTACATTACGACTCATAACAGTCCCATGCTCGATTGAGTGAAGAACTGCAGTCGGGCATTACGAGATTCGTTCCCCTTAAGAAATGACTTATTCTTCCAGTGTACTTCAGCCCACTTACAATGCTGTAGAAGGTCAAGACACGATAACAAGCGAGCTCACAAAAATCTCTAGATGCCGGCTGCTCGAAAAATTCTTCACGTCATCCCAATGATTTTAATAAACAGAAGGGAAAAATTATTTGACGTCTCGCTAGCACGGCAACTGCTATTGCAGTACGCAAAGGTATCTGTTGGAGGGGAGGAAACAAAATGCTACTCGGCAACAACCACGCTCTAGAAACGTGAAACGAAATGCATAATTCATTATGTTTGTCTCAGTATAAATATTTTTTCGAAATTGTCTGCAAGTATCTGGAACGAAAGGGTAAAGCCTTCTGGCGTCGTAAAGCTATTAAGGCTCTATGATCGTCGGCAAAGGAGACGCTTGATCGCGTTGATGGTAATACGCAGGAACGGAATTTCTGCGGACAAGGGACTTTCATTTTAAAATAATTATTATTATTTGTTATTTCACAATTTTATAGAAGAAGAATGCAAATTTGGAGTGTTGAACACGTACATATATATTAACGTTGAAAAGCATATAATTATTCGGAAATACAAGATCTTCTAAGTTGAAGGTTCCAATTTTCATTCATTTTTGTCGCCCGCATTTGATCTCGAACAAAGATCAAATATAATTTAAAAAATCGCATTGCAACCCTTGCATTTTACTTTCGGCTATTTTTTCACCAAAATCGGTTCTCTCGAAGCATTCTACTTTAGTCATGTAATAAACTCAGAACACATCGGCACAAAAAAAATCAACGAAAAAATCCACGGATATTCAAGCTGAGAAAAAAAGCAAAATAAGAGGCTCATGAAATTACTCGACTTATTCGCGGATGACTTCAGTGCGAATTTCAGGCTCCATTTGGAATGAATTACATCCTGCCAACTCGAACACGCAGATGGTGCCGGAAAATAAAAATCCTTCCGCTCTAATGGAGGTAAAAGACCAGTACTGAACCGTTCAGACAGTACCTCAGGATAAGGGTGAAGGACTGCTGCGGCTCAAACGGACGATTACATCGCAGAATAATTCATCAATACCGGCACAATCAAATACCTGGCACCGGTTTTCAGGTCAAATGAGATCGCGATTATTTCCCGGCAAAAAAAAATAAAACGACCTCGATTTCACCTAAATTTTGCTTGCACGTTCTAACCTCGACATTAGTGAAAAAATGAGTAATACTGTAGTACAATAATTCAATTCATTGTTTCGGGCTATGAAAATACTTCTCAATATTTTTTCGCGAGCAATCGTAAATTGAGGGCATCGACACAAAGCAATAAAGCCCGCCAGAGAGCAAATAGAAGTAATTTCCTGAATCGCTTTACGCAGTATCAATCATGCACAAATAGTTGCCTTTTCGTCGTGCAAATGCCGTACAGTACTGTACTTTCAATTCATAAAAAATATCTGATGATTTTATTTCGTCAGCAAGAAATTTTTTTTGAAACGATAATGGGTTTAGAATTATACGTATACTCAAAACTAAACGCTTTCGAAAAATAATGCTCAGTGCAGAATAAATACTGTACTACATAAGCCCAAAGCTAACTGAAACAAATCTATTCACGGGGCGTTTTCAAGAAAGGATCGTTCGGAACCCTTTGATTCCATCGAACTTAAAATAAACCAGTCGATGTCGCAATAAAGTAGAATCGAGAAGCATCAGTAAGTCGAATAACACGCCACTGAATGCACAACTCTTCACATGACGATCGCATGACCAGGTAGGAAAAAAAAAGACGCAAGAGCGATTTGAACAACAAAAACAAAATATCACAAGGAGAAATGTTAAAAAGAGGGACAGAATACCTGATCAATAATGCTGAGAGACAAAAATGAGACAAAAGGGTTTTTTCTTTTGAATGCGTCAGCAGACTTTCTTGACGTGATGCAGAACGGAATTCCCGCTAAGGAATAAACCCCATGTCCCGAATTGTCCTCTCCTATTCAGTCACGCAAATTTCAAATGCTGTCGGAACTTATTCATAAAAAATGCACGAAACACGAATAAAAAGAAGGAAAAACACATTTCCGAGACTGCGCAATATTTCCTCAAATGCAACATGGGGAGTTTATGATCTATCCAAACGACTTGATGGACCGTGGTTTTCTAAATGTAGATACTCGATCGTCAACACTCGGCGAATTTTGGAAAAGAATAACATTAGCGCCTTAATTGAAGATGATCAGGCATCGTTACAAACCACGCTTCACGTCTAAAAAACCGAAAAAAACTTCCGGGATGACGGACCAAATCAGAAACGATCGTAACGCCACCTGCTTCATAAAAAATTCCTGATGTCCCTAGAATTTCTTCTACTGTCAGCAGTACCACGAATCCCGAAAAAACACTTTCATGAGTTTAGTTCGTGTGTCCTTGGAATTTTATACAAACTTCCGCGTGGGTGAGGTATTATTTTAGATATTAAACCAAATTATTTTTTTGCATCTTCTGCCGCTCCTATTAATTAAATTATCAGACTCATTTTTTACTTTTTAGTCAAATCTGAAGTGTATTTTAGCATTCAACGAAATATTTTTTTTTATTCTACAACACTGCAAAAACTTGAAATTCAAAAACTGAAGTCCACTACAGTACTTCAAGTGGACTTCCCAGCTTTAACAATGACCCGTAAAACGAGGGAAGGATAGTGACTCACATGAAGAAACTGTTACAAGTACGATTTTTCGGCCAGAAAACCTTCAGATTCCAGCTGACCCATTATATTTAAATCCTCGGGTCTAAAAAATTGGCGAAAATCAGAAAAGAAGGGTATACAGTAGCTCTGCAAATTCTGGTGTTAAAAATGTGTTAAATTAAGAAAGCCAAGAGCAAAAACGAGTCAAGATTTCATTGATTTCATACCATTCAAAAAAATCTGCAAGGCAACCTCAACGGATATAGCGGTTCGCTTTACCAAACGCATCCCGGAACCGATCAGTTTCGATAAGCGGGGACCCACTGTACTTCTTAAATAACGCTGCCATACACATATTTTTTTTTAAATATTTTAGCCCCAATCAATCCTTCTCTACAGCTAATCTAATTTACTCCAGATGCCTTTCCGTCATAATCCCACAGACTGATTCATCCTCAGTCAGCAGCAGCAGGAGAATGAACGCGATAATGCCAGAATAGCGAGAATTACCAACACGGCTCGGCGTAGAAAAAAAAGAAAACAAAAAAGGTGAGAACGGAGTGGGGGAATATCCAACACTCAAAAGCAGGATAAAAACATGAAATCGCACCTGGAAAACGCAAAAAAACACATACGGGAAATCCGTCAGATGGTGCGAGGGAGCGCGTCCAATGGGGGCCAAGATCCAGATCGTACGATGAAGCGTCTCCCTGCGTAAGAATGAACACCCAATTTCCCCCTCCGTCCCTCTCCGCGTTTCTGGCAAATATTGCAGGCGTGTTTCTCACGAAAGTTTCTTAGTTTGTTTCAAGTACTGTATTGTACCGTATTTTCAGAGTACCGCACAACGCCCGAAAAAAATGTCCGCATGTGGCTCGCGAAAAATGATAATTTGTCGTTCTACTTCACATCGATGGAAAAGATCGGCGTGATTTATCTCACGTGGATACGAACTCAATTTGATTAGTTCAAATTCGTTGATGAAGCACAGGATTAAAATTTACTGCGATTCTGCGAACTAACGCTGGGCTAATTTATTCTTCAGCAACGGGGAAGATATCCAACTCACAATATTCGAAATTTTACAAGTCCCGGGGATTGCATCCGATTTAAATTAAGGTCAAGTTTAGGAAATATTAAAATTCTCCCTTTTCACGGGATTTCCTCGCCGAAAGGCCTCACTGACGAAGTTGAATTACAAGGTAAGATTCCCGAAAAAGTCACAGGAATTTTAATACAGATACTGTATTTTCAAAGACCAAAATTCGTAGACCATACCAAATGAAAGACTATTTTATTTTCACAACTACGTTCCGTTTGACTTCGATCTTCCTTTCCAGTTTCTAAGCTGAAAGATCCTGTACAACAGAAGAAAGATTAATTGATTTTCCGAGTAAGATCACTTGATTTTCCGAGAAAGATCACTTGATTTTCTGAGAAAGACCACGAGTATGAACAGACAGAATCCGAAGTTTGACTCAAGCAAGGAAAAGTTAGGCCCGTTTCCCTCTTGTTTTCGTCACAATTTCGTCACAGGAAACTACAGTTCTTCGATCTTAGAACGGGCGGGTACAAACTGAAGAAAAACAGAACAGTTTGAGGTTCACTGTATTTCGTCAAAAATTGCTTGCTTAAAGAGCAAAAAATTTCCAAAAAACCCCTGTTGTCACAACACGGTTTTCAGTCTTTTTTCGCGGTCGTCCCACTCGATTGCTTCACATCGCGCCATAGAAAAAATTTTCCGCAAAAGCGGAGAAGGATCGTCAGTTTGCCAGCAAGTGTCAGGCGACGACCATGAGGAAATGCACGAAATCCTTTTCGAATAATTACAGTCACGAAACATGTTACCTTTTCAACAGAAACGGGAATACTCGTGAAACTTACAGGCGAGCGTTTTTCAATCGAATAAATTCCTGATTTCACCACAGCGGCATCTGTGGTCAAAAAATGGCCCAGTCTAAATCCAAGAAAACATTTAAAAACAAATGCGAAGCTCGATGAGCTACAGAACTTCTTGACGGGATATTAAATTCATGAGCAGACTGCACAAAAATAGCAGACACTACAGTAAACACGGAGTAAATCATACAAGAAATGCGTTTCTAACGCATTCGATATTGAGATACGAATAAAAATGGAGCATGACGCCTATACACATAACCGAGACAGGCATTAATTGCTAGTGCGCAGCATCAGGGAAAGACACAGATCATTAAAAAGAGTTTGGAACTAGTTCAACTCTTCTCGCGATCCAGACGAGGTCCCCGTCGAGGACGAGCCCAAAAACCCAATCCGTCATCTGGCACGGGTTTCAGTCAGGAAGGGAACCCACACTTTGTTGTGGCCTACGAGTCGGGTCAGAAGGTATACGAGATAAAATGTTCCACCTAGCTGCGGAAGGTCAGGAAATCAGCATGTTGCTCCCTTATCTCAAGAAAAACCAAGGGACATCACGGTCCATCAACTTTTACTCTTTGGTAACCAGGTTGAGAATCTTTCAACCCTCCCAAGTAATCTAGGATTCCGGAAGTGGATTGAAACAAACCTCCCACACACGAGGAATGCTCCTTCTATTCATCATTTAAAAATGTGAACCAGGTGTTCAGTACTACGTACTGTATTATACTGTATCATCACTTTCACTAGGAGCTATCGCATTCGTAGCTCTCGCACAAATTTTTGTCGTTATTTCTCCATTGTACATTAATCCGATGCGTGAAATTTCCGAAGTGACGATATACAAAAAATACTTTACAGCCGAAGGGACGAAAATGCGATCGCATGAAATCACTCCGGGTTTGTTGTGTAAGGTCTTCCTTCTAACAAAATGTCGGACCTTGCATTCGAAGCAAGATGGTCGAGAAGATATTCCAGCTCCGTAAACTGTCATAACAACGATCATCGATAACGCGTACCAATTATATACCGTGCCCGCATTTCAAACATTCTGGACTCTCAACTATAGCCCTCCAAAAACTGAACGCATAATATGATGCCTCACCAAATAAAATGTGCATGTTTTAGTCTTTTTGAAATATAGAATAATGGAGCACTGGAATGGGATCATTGAGTCTCACCTCCAATATCGCAGAATTCCGGGCTTTCGTCAGAGCCGTCGTTACACTCGGCTTTCCCATCGCACATCCAAGTTTTCGGAATGCACTTCCCAGGTTCGTCAAGGCATTCGAATAGAGAGGTTGAACAAGTCGCTACGAAATCACACACACGAGGAAAACTCGCTGATTTACACCGATTCGTTTCCGTTTGGCGAACACAAAACTCACCATGGATCGACGATGGTATCAAAGCTATAACGAAAGATAACGTCAGCACTGCCACCGGCAGTGAGTTACGTATCGTTTGTGAGATCATCTCCCAGTTTTTCTCTAGCGAGACGAGCCCAATCGTTTCCCTCCGTCTGACAAGTCTTTATAATTCTAAAAATTCACTCGCTTTTCATGAATGCTTTCTTCTTTTCGCAATATACTTATGCACTGTTGACGAGTTCTCGTCTGCGAACCAAACAAGTGAAAATTCATTTATTATCCTTGGAAAGCACCGCAAACGGAATACACGAAGGATTTAGCCCACGGGACTCGGCACATGTGTATGTTCGCCGAGTTCGAAGGTGAAACGGTAATTCGCTACTTTATAGATGCGAATTCTACATGAAGAAAATAAAGATACGTATCACTAAGAAACCAGGAAGCCTTCGTCCACACTTCCGAAAAAAAAACCTTCGAGTACCTTAATTAATGAAATACACGACGCGCTTCGGATGACAAACCTATCTGGAGGCATATCATAACCTTTCTTTTTCAAGAAGGACGCACTTATACAACACTCCTACTTTCCAGAATAAAAAAATATCCATCGCTCTATTGGTTGCTTCCATTATCAGCTCAATATTATCACACTTTTAACAGAAATAAGGGCTGAAACCCTTCACTTGCTGAAAAAAGTAGGCAAAGATTTTTCGCGTGATAGAAAATTTAAAATCAACGGATTGCGCTGATCAGAGGAAATCACACATTTGCAACCACAATTTCCATGTAAATGTCGGGAAGAATGTTTCGTCTGTTGAAATAAACGCACGATTTTCCCAAATATATATTCACGAAGGGGGAAAAAACCGCTCTTCCGGTTCGAATGAACACGGTTTGTTCTTCACATATTGCTCCGCACTCGATACAAACCCGCAGAACATAACATCCAGGGAAATTTTATTCGAAAGAAACGCAGATTTCACTTCACATTCCACCCCCGAAAATTAAAACACAACAACCACAACCACGGTAATACGACACTTGTAAACAAGTTCAATCACCGTTGTGCTTGCGCCACGCACACACATCTGCTTTCACCCGTTGCTTTCCTGGCCGCAGCTGGAGCGGATGTGTGGATCGTACCATGTCAGGCTACGTTCCAATACCGGCGCAGCGTACGATAGTCGGCGGCAATTTCCGCTTCGACTGGTTTTTGCCCTATAGTAGACGGGAGGGAGTCGCGGGAAAAAGTCCTCCCTCCCGCTACATCCCCGTGCCGATTCTCCCCCGCCATTCATTGATGTGCTTCAGCCGGGCTTGAATCTTATGGCCTTTCTTTTTCAACCCCTCAGTGAGTTCAAGTTCATGTTTGCTGAAGACATATACAGTACAGTACATTCCTTAACTTTTGATTGCTGAGGCAGACAATTGGCAGGATGCGAGAATCCCTAAAGTTAGGCCCAGGCTTCTTGCAGCATATTCGCTTTGAAATACAGCATACTGTATTTTCTTGAGTACCACTGGCCCTGCAGTAATAAGACACACCTTAGTTGCATGAAATTTGCCCAAAAGTGTTTCCCTGCACAAAATGTACATCCAATTTCACATGATTTAACGAACATTTTCATATTTCACTGTTCAACACAAATAAAAATCCAATAATTAAATGTACAATAACAGAGCAAATTAACTGGATTTTTTCCAAACAGAATTCCCTGTTCATCAATTGCACCAACCAAAAAAAGCACTAATGGCTAGCACCATTGATTTTTTTTATTCAAAATATACATCCAAATACTGTATCATGCCACCCAACTTTTCTGCCGCGATTTTGCAGAAAAAGATGCGTGTGATATACTTGCAGAAATTTGGTATCACTGAATAGAAATGGAAAATTAATGTATTTTGAAATAAAGCTGTTGGGACACGGAAAAAAGCTTTGCCACAAGAATAATTGATCGCATTGTGTTTATTGTACAGGGACTGTAAAAATGAATAAATTCTGAACAAGAATTTTTTTCAAACAAAGCTTTTGTAACAAGATTCTGTCAATATATTGGTAGCTATATTTGTTTCTTTACAAGCTAGAACTGGTCTTTGAATAGCCTCAGAAATACACTGGCAAAAAAGCACTAAAAACAAAAAAATGAAGGCCAGAATATTCTGTGGCTGTCTAAAATAACTTCCCACCTCCAAAAACTTTCTAGCAAAAGAATCAAAGTTTGGAAATAATATTGCCTGGCTCGTGTGAAAAGACTGAGAAAATTATTGATGGCTCTCCCGCCTCTTTCAACTCAAAATAATTTTGCGACGAAAAATGTTTATTCAACAGAGTTTCCGTTATGCAGTTATATTTCATGGCTCGTCTTTCAACTCTCCAAGTTCGGCTTTTTTTTAAAGAAACACACCTGGTGTTTGCAAATCTTCATTTTTTCAAATTTATTTCGTCGAACAGAGATTCTAAGGTTACTCAACGTAGTCAACGAGATCCAATTCGTAATGTGTGACAAAAGACTTCCGCTATAAAAAATCACAACATTCCTCCATATAAATTATGCATATACTGTACTTAAACCACCTTCACGAAGTGGTATTTACGAAGCAAGATTCCTGATTGTCAAGGAATAAATATCTTGATAAAAATCTGCATCGATGAAAAATTATCTCTAGCATTGTTGGTATTGTGACTGACTTAATCCAATTAAGTTTGAAAATAGGTTGAAGCAGGATTTCTCCAGCTCTTTTTTCTTATGATAAACCGTTCAATCATACGAATTACTCCGGAAATCTCCATTCAAGGCACATAACTGGAAAATTCTAAAATTGTAATATCGTAGGTTTTTGATCGTTTGGTGCGATAATGCAGCTTAAAGGCGTGATTTTTAAGCTCAGCAAATTACGAATTAGGACGACACTTTTCTATCTTTTCTGGAATGCACGCGGAATTTGGTGACTGACCTTGGAAAAATAAATTATCCCGTTGATTTTTTTTTATATTCAGCGAAATTCCAGAGGTGATTTTCCATTTATAGAACAAATGCTTACGTAATGACCACGACGGCCAACCAGCAATTCGACCCGTCTGTCCAAAGGAATAAATTTGTGTTGGGCTTCCAATTGTGGTACAGTAATTTTGGGATAGCCACTACATATAATATGAACTTTCCTAATCAAACCTCTCTGTCAAAAATTTCCGAAATTCAAATTTCCAGTTAATCTCAGCGATCAATCCACTTGGACAGGGGTATGTACAATTTTAGTCTACCTAATAACTCAACGCTTTTGGGTCAAACCTTCCATAGTAAAAAATGTAAGGCCTTCTTGTAACTACCTTTCAAATTTTAGAACACCGCTTCCAGAAAATATATTTATTCCTTGATCAGGTGCACATTGCAGTACAGTATTTCCTTTAGACTCGATAAAGGATTAGAGATGGAACTTTCTTCAAGTAGGACATCTGCTCATAATAAAAAAGTTACCAACGTTTGGCCAGAGAATAATTTCCATTAATTAACCCCCCCCCCCCAAATAAAGCCAAATGTCTCCACTCTCAGCTGTCACGTCATATTTGTTTTTGCCATTCTCTACAATTAGAATCAGAGAGGTATAACTGAAGTACAGTAGTATACAGTATTTGGAATAGTGCTTTATTCGAAGTACTGTATTCCAATGGAAAAAGGCATGTGTGTATGCATCTACTTCAACGTTCATGACTTTGAAAAAAAAAGCAAGAGGACATTAGTTGCATGATTTATTTAAAGATAAATAATATACTTCTTGTGTACTGTATATACAGTATATATGGTACAGTATTGAACAAATAACTTATAAAATGAATGAAAGTTTGAAAAGGCAGCAGCGAGGGATATGTTTGTATATGCAGTAGTTAATCAGATGTTACACACAAGAAGTGACTCATAAAAAATTAGATTGTCCTCAACGCTGGAAAATAATTGTAAATTCAGAAAGAAGTGGTTGAACATTCCACGACGACAATTAGACGACGAAGGGGGGAAGAGGGGGAGTAAGGGTCCATTGGCCTCAACTGCAGCGTCATCTAGCGCCCAAGCCAGCGGACAACGAACATCAACCCATAAGAGGACATCCAACGGACCGCGCGAACTCTTATTCCATCATTGGAAAACTGCCGCATCAATTGTTCTTTCATCAACTATATGCATCAAAAAATTTAACCTGAGTTGCAAATGCCCATCACTTTCTTTGAATATTGATGGGCAGCGGGAATGGGAAAAAAAATATCACAGAAAATAACCCCAGCCTTCATCTCTTCAGTCCGCACGCTGCCGTAAATCTGAAAATGCCAACGCCACGGTATTCCAATACAGTACTGTACACTACAGTATACGCAGGCAAGCTTCCCTTCCACCCGTAGCCCCAACGGGTTTCGCAGCGGGTGTGTAAGACGCGTAACACCCCGTAACTCCGTAAGGCAAAGGAGCCGTGAATGCCGCAGAGGCCATACGATTTTGCCTCAAGCAAGGCCGACTGAACCTACGCAGTCGAGAAATTGAGCATTCCGCGAAGAACGGAGTGGCGGGAGAGGGACGAGGACACCGCCACCAACACGGCGGCGGCGGGAAGGAATTTAAGCCACGTTGGAACCGGAGTAAGAAAAGGAGTAAAGGAGGAGAGAATGAGGAGGAGGAGGACGAAGGAAAAAAAAAAACTAAATGAATAAATGAAGCCGACTCACCGACCCGTCAATTCACTGCGGACCAATGGCAGCGCCAGCCCAGGCATCGTACGATGCTCCCCGCGCGCGCCAGCGACTCTTTNTTTTTTTCAAAGACCAAGATTTCCTGTCTGCAGTTTGAATTATAAAATAACTCTATAGTTTAATGAGGCATTATAAAGTTGGGTGCTTTAGAGGTTTTAACTCTCTGCTGGAACCAAGCCTTAATTAGGCATAATAAAATACTATAATTTATTTGGAAAACTTCTCTGTACGCAATTTTTTTGTTTATGAAAAGGAAAAGTGAAAATTTGAGTCGTTTCTTCAACCTTGATAAGTCAAACCTCCTGAAGTCAAAAACCTCCCTAAGTCAAAATTTTCCCCAGTCCCCTTCCAATCCTTTAGAAAATAATGTCTGAAAAACCTTCCTAACATCAAAGAAGTTCATGGGAAACCTCCATGAGTCAAATGTTTTGTACACAAGGAGGGACATTTTTTTTTTACTGCAGGCGTTTTTGGGGGGAGGGGGGGGGGAGGAGAGCCGCTTTAATTTGATG